TGGTTTCCTACAAAGCGTTCTGTTTGGTGTCTGAAGAGTTTTTCATGAGTAGGTTGGCCGTTTTTGGGGTTTTATAGTGAAGTGTCATTTGTATTTTCTGATTTTTGTCTGTGAGGATAACGTTCCTATTAACGATATCTTTCAGGACCCTCTCCTTGGTTTTATGAGCCGTCGAAAAGAAGTTCCTGTAAAATAGTGTAATAGGGGGTACAGGTGTTGTGTTGGTTGAAGAGTCAACCAATATATATATATATATATATATATATATATATATATATATATATATATATATATATATATATATATATATATATGCTTCCTGCCCCCGAGAATAAGAGTTAATATTAATATTTAGAGATGTTTACGTCTCTGAGCCCATTATATCCACAGGATGGGTATGGGGTTCACTACCACCCACAGGATGGGTATGGGGGTCACTACCACCCACAGGATGGGTATGGGGTCCACTACCACCCACAGGATGGGTATGGGGTTCACTACCACCCACAGGATGGGTATGGGGTTCACTACCACCCACAGGATGGGTATGGAGGTCCACTACCACCCACAGGATGGGTATGGGGTCCACTACCACCCACAGGATGGGTATGGGGTCCACTACCACCCACAGGATGAGTATGGGGTTCACTACCACCCACAGGATGGGTATGGGGTTCACTACCACCCACAGGATGGGTATAGAGGTCCACTACCACCCACAGGATGGGTATGGGGTCCACTACCACCCACAGGATGGGTAGGGGGTCCACTACCACTCACAGGATGGGTATGGGGTACACTACCACCCACAGGATGGTTGGGGGGTCCACTACCACCCACAGGATGGGTATGGGGTCCACTACCACCCATAGGATGGGTATGGGGTCCACTACCACCCACAGGATGGGTAGGGGGTCCACTACCACCCACAGGATGGGTATGGGGTCTATTACCACCCACAGGATGGGTATGGGGTCCACTAAATTTCACAGGATGGGTATGGGGTCCACTACCACCCACAGGATGGGTATGGGGTCCACTACCACCCACGGGATGGGTATGGGGTTCACTACCACCCACGGGATGGGTATGGGGTCCACTACCACCCCACAGGATGGGTATGGGGTCCACTACCACCCACGGGATGGGTATGGGGTTCACTACCACCCACAGGATGGGTATGGGGTCCACTACCGCCCACAGGATGGGTATGGGGTTCACTACCGCCCACAGGATGGGTATGGGGTCAACTATCACCTACGGGATGGGTATGAGGTCAATTACCACTCACGGGATGGGTATGGGGTCCGCTACCGCCCACAGGATGGGTATGGGGTCCACTACCACCCACAGGATAGGTATGGGGTCCACTACCACCCACAGGATGGGTATGGGGCCCACTACCACCCACGGGATGGGTATGGGGTCTACTACCACCCACTGGATGGGTATGGGGTCCACTACCACCCCACAGGATGGGTACGGGGTCCACTACCACCCACGGGATGGGTATGGGGCCCACTACCACCCACAGGATAGGTATGGGGTCCACTACCACCCACAGGATGTGTATGGGGTCCAGTATCACCTACGGGATGGGTATGGGGTCCACTACCACCCACAGGATGGGTATGGGGTCCACTACCACCCACAGGATGGGTATGGGGTGCACTATCACCTACGGGATGGATATGGGGTCAATTACCACTCACGGGATGGGTATGGGGTCCACTACCGCCCACAGGATGGGTATGGGTCCACTACCACCCACGGGATGGGTATGGTGTCCACTACCACCCACAGGATGGGTATGGGGTTCACTACCACCCCACAGGATGGGTATGGGGTTCACTACCACCCACGGGATGGGTATGGGGTCCACTACCACCCACAGAATGGGTATGGAGTCTACTACCACCCACAGGATGGGTATGGGGTCAACTACCACCCACAGGATGGGTATGGGGTCCACTACCACCCACGGGATGGGTATGGGGTCCACTACCACCCACGGGATGGGTATGGGGTCCACCACCACCCACAGGATGGGTATGGGGGTCCACTACCACCCACGGGATGGGTATGGGGTCCACTACCACCCACAGGATGGGTATGGGGTCCACCACCACCCACAGGATGGGTATGGGGGTCCACTACCACCCACGGGATGGGTATGGGGTCCACTACCACCCACAGGATGGGTATGGGGTCCACCACCACCCACAGGATGGGTATGGGGGTCCACTACCACCCACGGGATGGGTATGGGGTCCACTACCACCCACGGGATGGGTATGGGGTCCACTACCACCCACATAATGGGTATGGGGTCCACCACCACCCACAGGATGGGTATGGGGGTCCACTACCACCCACGGGATGGGTATGGGGTCCATTATCGGCAATGGGATGGATATAGGTATTTCTAATATTTTAATAAAATCTGATTAAATATAGATTTCTTCGTAACATTCGCAGGAGAATTGTGGGGCCTTTTGAAACCTCTGGAACTTTTGGAAATCTCCGAAAACCTTTGGAAACATCTGGAAAACTAAGGAAGCCTGTGGCAACCTCAGGAAACCTTTGGAAACATCTGGAAAACTAAGGAAGCCTGTGGCAACCTCAGGAAACCTTTGGAAACATCTGGAAAACTAAGGAAGCCTGTGGCAACCTCAGGAAACCTTTGGAAACATCTGGAAAACTAAGGAAGCCTGTGGCAACCTTAGGAAACCTTTGGAAACATCTGGAAACAAATGAAAACTTTGGGAAACCTTTGTAAACCCTTTGATGAAAACAAAGGTCTTGCAGATGCCGCGGCGTCTGATAACAACACCATCATTATTCGGTGTAAAATTTGCGCTGGCTGTTGATATTGATTTTGTGTGTTATTTAGCGGAAGCCGGGACAGGAGGCCGTCGGTGGCACAGGGCAGGACCAGCTGTGTTAGGAGTCCCACAGGAGGTCAAGAGAGGAGAAGGTCCGTCGAAGGCTCATAAGAGTGGCGGTTCAAGGAATGGGATAGTCTGTATGACGTCTCGAGAACATAAGAATAATTGTAACTGCAGAAGGCCTATTGTCCTATACGAGGCAGCTCCTATATATATCCGCCTAATCTCATTCATATATATGTCTAACCTACGCTTGAAACAGTCAAGGGATCTTACTTTTATTATGTTGCGCGGTAATTGGTTCCACAAATCAACAACCCTTTTATCAATTAAATTTCTTTCTTTATTATGCATCCCATACCCATCCCGTGGGTGGTAGTGGAAAGGGTTACAGAGGAACATAATCGGTTCAGGAACTGAACCCCCCAAGAACCAGTATTTTGTATATATATACAGTATATATACAAAATATAAAACTTTGTCATCCTACAAGAACAGCACCAGGTGTGTTGTTACTAACGCTTCGATTAATAAATCCCAGTGTCCTGTTTGCCTGATTACGAACATATATGCATTTATTTTTTGGCTTTAAATTTCTATTAATCATTGCTCCTAGATCGCTTTCGCAATCTCAACACTATTAGCTCGTACTCAATCATCATTATCTAGCCTCAAAACCTCACATTTGTCAGCATTAAACTGCATCTGCCAAACTCTTCGCCATTTCAAAACCCTATTTAGATCGCCATGAAGTGATACTGAGTCTTTTACTGTGTTTATTTTCTCTTCCGATTTTTGTATTATCGGCAAATTTGAAATATTACTGCTCAAACTTGAATCTAAATCATTTATGTATATTATGAACAACAGTGATCCCAGGACAGAGGCTTTAGACACTCCACTTGCAACATTTTTCCAGTCTGACTTAGCGCCATTTATATTAACTCTTTGTTTCCTTTGGTATAACCAATTTAATATAGCAATTTCAATTTATTATAGCATCCCAATACAATGAGCATCTATCTTTTTAGTCAGCAAAGCTCCTCTGTGCATTCTTTAAGCAACATGGCAAACACTTCGTCCGGCCCTGGGGATTTGTTTGGCTTGAGTTTCACTATTTGTTTAATAATAGCCTTCCTGGTAACCGCTAAACTAGTCAACCTGTCCTCGTCCCCACCAACATAGACTTGTTCGGCTGAAGACATAATGTTAAGTTCCTCTTTAGTAAATACAGAGATAAAATATTAAAGGAATGAAAGGTCTGGAGGAGGCCAAAAGAAAAGGGAAGATCCGTAGGAGATCCAAGGAAGGGAAAGGTCTGTAGGAGGCCTAAAAGAATAGGCGGCACGTAGGAGGCTGAAGGCTGTGGCAAGATGGGACAGGAGGCGCAGGTAGTGGGTGGTAGGAAGCGCTAGGTGTCTGAGGCGCAGGTGGCGGAGAGGGGGGGCTGGGTTGTGAGAGTTGCGATCAGGGTTCCAAGGAAGGGGCGATCGTAGGCTGCAGGAAGTGTACGGAGAAGGGGTGGCAGGTGGTGTACTGGGAGGGGGGGAAGGGAACTGCGAGTAGCGCCTGGTGGGGGTGGCAGGTGGTGTCGGGGGTGGGGTAATTGGTGTTGGGGTGGCAGATGATGTAGGAGAGGGGGGGGGGATTTCAGGTGGTGTACAGTGGGGGCTACAAGGGTGCATCAGTGCCTGTGGGGCTACAGGTGTCTTGAAGGGGAGCAAGAGGAGGGGCTGCAAAAGGTGTACTGGTGGGGGCTACAAGTGTGCCAGTGGGGCTACAGAAGATATCGGTGGGGGCTGAAGGTGTACTAGTAAGGGGCTAGAGAAGGTGTACCGATTAGGGGCTATAAAAGCTGTATCGATGGCCGGGAGGGGGGACTACAAGAGCTGGTAAATTGACAGCAAACTACCGGTTGAGAGTGGCGACAGGTGTACTGCCTGTTTGAGAAAGGGGGGGGGGAACAGTCAGAAGGTGTACAGATCTCGTGCTACACGAGGTATACCAGCTGATGGGAGGGGCTATACTACCGGAGGTATACCATAGGGTGGGTGGGGGGCAACAACCCCCCATGAGAGAGGGGGGGCCAGCTGACGGGATGTAAACAGAGAGCCTCGACTGCCGTGACGTCAGTTGCACCATGTCCAGCAGTGATGGCGCCCACTCGCTGAGGAGACACGCTCTCAGGTCTCCCAAGAAATCCAAGAAAGGCGACGACAGGAGTACCCCCAAGTCGCCCAACCTGAGCGTGCACACCAAGAACTTCTACATCGCCTCGTACCCGGTGGTGCTGGTCTTCAACCTCCTCCGTTCAGTGCTGTATCACATATTCTTACTCTTGAAAACGTTGGTCCGGGCGGGCAGCTACCTGGCCCAGGGCCGGACCGAGGCGCCACATTCAACTGGCCTCATCACCGAGCTGGATAGTGTGGGGGTGGAGGGTAGAGGAGGCTCGGGCCAGGTGGAAGAAGGCACTCAGGTGGACTTAAGTGTGTTAGAGATGCCGCCCAAGACCAATCCTGGGCCCGGAGACCCGCTCCTGGCCAAGCAGAAGCACCATCATCGCAAGGCTTTTGAGTACATCTCCAAGGCCCTCAAGATCGACGAGGAGAATGAAGGTAGGACTACTACATGCAGCTTGGCTAGTTGGGCTGGTGGAGGAGGAGCTGTGGCTCTGGGGTCCCGCCTCACCACCGTGCAAAAAAATTTTGTATTCCCGGGGAGAAAAATTACGTGTTCCACGCAAGACGGGCCATTGGCAAATTTTTGAACTTGTGCTACCCGACCCAACAAGTGCCAACCATCCCAACACATACCAACCATCCCATCCCAAACCATCCCAACTCAACCCAACACATTCCTACCTAACTTATACCAACCATCCCACGCCAACCCAACTCATCCCATTCCAGCCCATCCCATCCAAACCCAATCCAAAACATCCAGTGTATAAATTGAACAGAACCCCATTCCAGGACATATTATTTATTTATTTATGCATATACAAGAATGTACATTGGGAATGTGAGGATACATAATATGGTAATTACAGTCTTGTAAAGCCACTAGTACGCGCAGCGTTTCGGGCAGGTCCTTAATCTAAGAAAATTTTAAGGAGGTAAATACTTGCAAAATTTAGAGACAAAAAAATGATAACAGTTACATGGAATGAAAAAAAGATGAGAGAAAATTGTAAGTACAGTATATTAAAGCACATAGGTAGCTGAGATTGATTGCAATGACAGCTTGAATGGTAGTTGACAAAAATTGGTAGGCACAATACAGCATATGGCTAGCACATAAAAGAAGACAGCAATGAACACAATGATAAGGTTGTTTGATACTACATAAAAATTAGGAGATTGGGTAACACTAGGTACAGAGCAAATTTAAAGCTCAGTGTAGGAAACTAAGAAGATGAAATTAGGTACTTTTTGGTTTTGCTTTTAAATAAGGCAAAAGTTTTACAGTTTTTCAATTCACTAGAGAGCGAGTTCCATAGACTAGGTCCCTTAATTTGCATAGAGTGTTTAAGTACTGTACAGTCATATCTACATTTTAAACTGTGGATGGCATTTTTCCTTTGCCACTTCATTTTGTAGCTCATTCCATCTGTTTATAATAATGATTCATTGTGTCGGGGAGCAGGAAGCCCCAGTGTATTCATACGCGTTTGGCTTTTATCGAGGTCTCCCCCCCCCCCCATGCTGAATTACTAACCCCAGCCCAGGATGCAACCCCCACAACAAGCTGATTAACTCCTAAATACCTATTCACTGTTAGGTGAAGAGAGGCATTAGGTGAAAGGAAATGTGCTCGACCGTTTCTGTTCCGCCCGGCATTCGAACCTGGAATTCTCGATTGTTAATCGAGAATGAACCCGATTTTTCTGCCGGGACCCTCTGTTTACTATCCTGACGCTAACAAGAATTTTATAATGTCTCTGGCTCACTTGGGTATTTCGTTTCCATCTGTGCCCCCTTGTTGGTGTACCATTGATGCTAAGTATCAGGGACCTATATAGATTCATCAAGCAGTAATACATATCTTGATGAGAAAATAGATTTTTTAGAAAATTGTGGAGAGTGCCTCTGGGAACACCCAGTGCAAAGGTTCGAATCCTCATCACAGCTCCTGTGGATGTCTTCATTATATATATTGTTATAACAATATAACAGGCCTTTATATCAACATTGTTATAACAATAACAACATTTGACTAGGAAGTTTTTTTTAGCCACCATAGGTTGAGAAAAGATGTACAGGTTTGTAAGTAGATGCATAAATGCTTGTTGAAGCCAGGCCCTGTTGAGTTTGTGTGTAATTACCCAAGTGTAGGTACAGAATGAGAGTGGCACTTATGGTGTCACGACCTTCCAGTACTGTACTCTTTGTAATTTGACCTGTTAAAACTATTTTTTTTTTATTTTTTTTTTATTTACAAGTTCTTACATTCTTGTCCAGCCATTAGCACGCATAATGTTTCGGGCAAGTTTTTAATCCTATGTTTCCCGGAATACGACCCGCCAAATAGTTTAACAACCAGGTACCCATTTTACTGTTGGATAAACAGAGGCTACAGTTAAGGATTGATGCCCAGTAAATCCTTCCCGACCAGGATACAAACCCAGGCCAAAATACTCGCGAAATGCCAGACGAGTGTCTTACCGCTTCACTACAGACTCGGTTGTACTCACCCAATAGGCTCAGGAATCTGTACGCCAGTTGATTGACAGTTGAGAGGCGGGACCAAAGAGCCAGAGCTCAACCCCCCGCAAACACAACTAGGTGAGTACAGGGGACTGACACTGATAGTTTTGGCCTCTACCACCTTCTCACTTTAACTGTGTGCGTGTGCATGGATCTTGGGCAACCCCCAAAAGCTTGTATGAATGTTAACAGACAGGTTTACTGTACTTTGAAATATACCTGTGATGATGGATGATTAACAAACTGCATCCACAGGTTTAGCCATGTTGCATTTCAGAATCAGGGCAGCCAATATGAAAAACTTTGGAATTTACCATTAACATTGTTAATGCTTTACTGTTTTTTCTGTTAATGTTTTACCATTAACATTACTAAATACTTTAGTAATGGTTTAAGGTTGCTTATTGGAGGTCTGTTTAGCAAATATCATGCAGACTTTTTTGTCTTTTTTAATATTAGCATGTTTCATATTACATGTTGAAATCTAAAAATTAATTACAGAATTTTTCATTTATATACATTATTTTATTTTTGTATTTATTAATTTTACATATTTCAGCTGTTCCGCATTGTCAACCAACCTGTTACTGGTCGTACCCAATGGTGCTTAACCAACTATTGTATGACACACACACACACGTCATCCATTCCTTCACACTTGACATGTAGATACTGGGTGCACTTGTTCTGGGATTCACTTGTTTTGTTCCATTATGTTTAATGAACTGCATTTGATTTTACCTATGTTGTATTTACAAAAGTATAAAAAATATATACAGTACTGTATAAGGTAAGGTAATATTACCGGTTATTGGACACCTGATTATTTACATTCACAGCAGACTAAAAGCGATTTATGGTTTTTGCCTAAACAGTCATCTGACTCCTGGGTATCTAATTTTCTGCTTTGTGAACAAAAGGCATCAGATGGATGGAAAAAAGGCCAAAATGCCTCGCTTGAGCTGAATACTAACAACAGGCCAATTGTGGTGGCAGTGGGCTACCCAGACACATTGTTTGTTACCCATTATGCACCTTTTTAGGTGACGACCCATGTCATCCTACCGATTAGTTTAAGAACCATACATCTAATGTATTTAAAAATCAAATAAAATAAAATGTGACCCCCTTTCAATATTATGATCATTAAAGTATTTTTAAATTTTATAAGAATCATGGGAAATTGAATATTATAGTACTGTATTCATCTGGTTTTGTGTTACCGGTAGATACCTGGATTATAATTGTCAATTATTCCTGGATTGTAATTTTTATACCAAATTTTTAATTTCTTTACCAGTAAAAATTATAGCAGATACCTGGATAAATTGGTGGGTAATTTCAATTACACACCAATTTTATTGAAGAGTAATTGAAAAGTCCTTTGCACTTTTTTTTATTTTACTCCTGTGTCTGGCAGCCGTGTAGCTACGTATGATTTAAAATATAATCATGTCAGTACAGGGGATATCTTATTTATGTACATAAATATGATAAAAACTATTTTGTAAATCTACTGGTATGCAGTGCTTGGAAGTGCAGTACTGTATATGTATGGATAGGTTATATTATATACATGCATTAAAGGTCCTGGTAGTAGTCGGGTTCGTTCTCGACTTAGTCGAGAATTTTGGGTTCGAATCCAGGGCAGGACAGAAATGGCTGGGCACATTTCGTACTGCCTAATTCATCTGTTCACCTAGCAGCAAGTAGGTATCCTGTACCTAGGAGTTAGTCAGCTTGTTGCATCCTGGTTGGGGTCAGTAGTTCGACCTGGGGGGTGGTGGGGGGCCTCGATATAATCCTAACTTGTATGAATACACTCTGGCTTCCTGTTCCCCGACACAATGAATGAATTAATTATTTATGAGACATTGTATTGCTTGGATACAAAACTTTGAGGTGCTACACTACTTAGGTACAGAATATATTGGGAAAATTAAAACTATATTGTGCAGCCACGTTCATGATTTTTTTTTTTATCTAAGCAGCACAGTGCCCCACAGGCAATCCTTACGTTAGGCCTTGATTATTTATTTAAACTTTGAATTATTAATAAAAACAAAGCATATTTTTTCAGCATTGATGAATTGTATACAGTACAGCATAATTGAGAGGGGCAAGAAGGAAATTTTATTAAGGGTGAAATGTGGATCTTACCCAGTCGAAGAATTACCAGTTTGTTTGACCATATTTGTATGTATACAAGTCACTTAGCGTGAAATTGATGTTATTGTGATTTCTGTGTGTAATGAAGTAAGGGTGAAGATGTAGAGCAGTGTGTTGATGGAGCCCGGGTGCATGTGGGAATTGTGTAAAACCCTGGTTTGTGTCGGAGAGACTGCAGGATCCGTGTGAGATCAGTAGAACTCCTGGTTACAATTCTTTTAACCATGTCGTGGCACATTCGATTAAGGCATGTCTGGGATCCTCTCGGATGTAGGTTCAATACCTCATCACGGCCCTTGTGGATTTGTTCATTTGATGCATCACACTATTGTGATTTCTGCGTATAATCATTATAAAAACTTTTCTGGTTTGTCCAAATTCAATAATACGGAATTTTATTTTCTAGAGGTCCATCACAACATTCAGTGTACCTGTATTTTCAACCATGTAGTTATTATAAGTACGTTCATGTTAGGAGGATGGGATGAGTTTTTGTATACCTCATCCAATCATGTCAGTACATGTCATGTACTGACATGTATCTGTAAACAAATAGTGCAGTTCCCATGTGGACCCGTGAACAAATAGTGTAGTTCCCTATGGATCTGTAAACAAATAGTGCAATTCCCTTTGGACCTGTAAGCAAATAGTGCAGTTACCTATGAACCTGTAAACAAATAGTGTAGCTCCCTGTGGACCTGTAAACAAATAGTGCAGTTCCCTATGGACCTGTAAACAAA